CTCCCTCCACAAAAATCAACTTGTAAATATTTAAGTATTATATAAGTATTCCAATAGGCCGTTTTCTCAAGGTTACGTGCGCATCCAAATTTAAGGAACTTGACGGGCCATGATATCAAAACACGAGTATTATCATGCATTGCTATGAATTTTTTTCGATAAGAATTCATAAAATCGATTATTCTTCTCTTTAAATATAAAACTGTCTTCTCAATTTTACTGAATTTGCGTTTTTCAGTTTTGTGGCCCGTCAAGATTGGATGCGCACGCAACCTTGAGAAAACTGTGTATTATATCACGGGATGAGGGCCACAGGTTTGTTAGCCACTACTACCCTCAAGTGCTACCCTCGTAAAAACAAGAACAATGTTTCACACTTCGCTTCCTTTGCGACTGGTTGCGTACTTAGCATCTTGTATTGTACCTAGTATTTTTGTTTTTATTTTTGTTTTGCTGAGAAACGCAAACCAGAGAACCTGGAGAAAAACCCTCGAAGCACAGGAATGAACCAACAAACAACTCTACTCACGTACGACACTGAATCCAGGAATCGAACGCAGATCGCATTAGTAAGAGGCGAGCGCTCTCCCGGCCACCAGTGTTTCCCTTTCTGGATCCTTCGTTCACCGAGTCCCTCGATATTCACCTTTAATAGACTTTTTTAGTTTCGTTGTTTGTTGTGCACATTTCAGACTACGTCATGCCACTCTTGGGAGTTGATTCTTTCATGTGTAAAAATTTTACCATGTTCGTCATTAAAGAACAATTCTCAAGGAAATGTGCAATTTGCATACTAAGCTTACAAGGTCTACCAACCCTCCATCTTGGATTTACCTGATACATATCCATAGCAACCAATGGATGCTTCTCGCAAGGGATAACTACAACCGTGTTCCCTCGTATGACAGCCGGTGCGAGCAAGGAGACAAATCCTAGCAACGGACATTCGTCAGGGCACGCGATACCGATCACTCCCACTGGCTCGTGAACCTTGACTGTTGCACCATAAAAAGGAGTTTCCTGGCGATGAAAAAAATGACACGATATGTTCAGCAATCACCGACACGTACGAGAAAGCATGACTTCTGGACAAAATATCATTTCATTACACAATCAAGCAGTTTTTGTGCGAGAGGGAAACGTACGGTAATGACTTACAGCACGTATACGGTACGACATGCCGTAACAATAAAATGGCTTCCCATAGGAATGGTTATCGTATGAGGGGGAAACGTACGGTACTGACTTACAGCACGTATACGGTACGACATGCCGTAACAATAAAATGGCTTCCCATAAGAATGGTTAAAATATGAGTGGGAAACGTACGGTACTGACTTACAGCACGTACACGGTACGACATGCCGTAACATTGAAATGGCTTCCCATTGTCTTCCAATAACTCATCCAATCACATCGTGTTGTAACAGCTATGGATTTGCCGCATCGTTTCCCACTCAAACGAAACCCGTTCTATAGGAATCTATTCAATCTATTATGATCAACACATCTATCAATCTATTCTTATCTGACAAAAAACGAGCTTATGCCATTCAAAATTTCTACTGAAAATCTTACTTTGAAAATTTCAAAAAGAAAAAATATATGATTCAGAAACGCTTTGTCCAAACACCTTTCACAGATTTAATTGCGTTTCAGCATTTCGTATTTTCATTTCTCTCTCCAAGCTTTAAAAAGATGGTATCCTATTGATGGGTTGCAAGCATTCCCAAGAGATTCAAAACACAAAAACATGGCGGCCATTGTGGTGCCGTTAACAATGGATGCTAATGAGAAATCTTTTGTTAAATGGCACCAACATGGCCGCGATGACGTAACGTGCAATCGAAGAATACCTGAACAGAACCTCCATATTTATCAGCATATGCACCATAGTAAAACAGCCTCTCTATAGCGGCATCCACTTCAGCTTTCGAATCCTCGAGACTGCGGCCTGTCATGTCTGTGAGTCGCTGAGATATCTCGTCATGTCTCAACTCTAGGTTCTCGGCCATGTAGTAGACTATCTGTGCTCTGTTGTGAGCGGCTCTTTTGCCCCATCTGGGAATTAATGGAAATTACATTGACGGAAATAACTATATTAGAAAGCACAAGTGGTGTAGCCTTGCCCTGACTTAGATCAGCACAGAGGTTGTTTCAGGGTTC